TTGCTGGACATTAGCTATTCGTGTATATTCGTCTGTATTTACTAGTGAGCAGTAAATACTATTCAGATTTAACGAGGACTATATAAAGTATAAGAGGACATTTTTAATATGTGGTTTTGTAGTGTAGTGGTTATCACAGTGGATTTTGATCTGTCAAAATCTTCCATTAACCCCGGTTCGAATCCGGGCAAGACCTTCTTTTTTCTCCCGCCAATGTGTCTTTCTGAGCTCTTTTCTGGAAGGTCTTATGGTGTAGTAGGTAACACGGCAGACAAGTGTTAGCAACTCCTGGTTCGAACCCGGGTGAGACCGCTTTTTGCATTACGGCTCTTCTCACTGCTCACTCTCTCTTCCCTTTGGGTCTCATAGTGTAGTGGTAACACGGCGGATTTTGAAAAGTTTAAGATTGCGCAACTCTCGGTTCGAATCCGAGTGAGACTTTTTGCCACTGGCCGTGTCTACTCTCCTCTTATCGCGTCTACTATACACAATCGCATTTCTCCACAATCAGGTGGACTCTGCTTTGAATCCGAATGTAGCCCTTGCCACCGATCATTCGGAGCCAGTCAACCGCAGCTCGTAAAACCACCGAGTCCAATAGCAAAGAACAAAGAGCATCTACGTGTCCTCCTCTGGTAAATTACCAACATCTACAGCTGTACACCCCTCGCAGCTGCAGTGGTTCTAAAACCTCCGATTTCCCACCGGAACTGCAAGTGCCAAGTGCAGGGCAGAGCGTTTCATCCCTCGAAAGTCGTATTGAAACTCTTTTGTTTCGAGTCGGATATAACCTTGAATGGACCCTTTTTGCTGTGCGAATGTTGGGCGTGCACTGTCGAGCGTTAGCCAAACCCCGCGATTTGGTATTGACGCTGCCATCGTCGAGACCTACGCTTCCCTTGTAGGCTTCTAGGTTTCCCACATCGCTCAGATGAAAAATACATGTCTTTTCACGCAAACCTCTTTTTGTAGGCATTCCACGCCTAAACCCGTTCTTCTCGGGATGCGCGATTGCGGTGTCACAGCAGTATCATTACATTGTTTCCCGCCTCTCTCCCATCACTCACTCTCGCTACGATCGCCAATCGCCAGTCTATCAAGAACCCAAAAATAACTCGGGTCACTCTACGGCTCGACGGCATCCACTTTGTTATATAAAAGCCTACGTCGCTCCTCACTACCCACCACACACTACTTTCCTCCCCCAACTACAACTCAACTCCAACTACCAAATCACAAATCCGAACTATATTCTATTCAAGATGAAAGGGAATCCAACGACTACACTAGAATACGCCAAGATCCTCGTTCCCGTCAAGATTATGCGCGCGGGTACACAGGTCGGCGAAGCCCTTGGTCGATCCGCTGGTGCGCTCGAACCATTCGTCAAACCCCAACAAATCATCACCCTCACCTCGAGCGCAACCAAAAAACGAAAAATAAAGGTCAGGGTGCACAAGAATGAAGCGGCGCTT